AGTTTTACAAATAAAGTATGGACAATGATTTTACTGAAATATAAACAAGTGAAGTTATACATTGGTTACATACACCCCTCCTATATTTCGCAAAAATCCAGACCATAGTGTACCTCTGAATAAACCATTCTGACCTCCAAGACAACTGACATCAAACTTGTGCAGGGTTAACTGAAAAACTCTTAGCTTTACCATCGGCTGTAAAAGCCACCTACTATATAGGTTCAGAGAAAACATAAGGGAGATCAAGCCTTAGTCCCTCCTAGATTAATATGATGCCTTGTACACACATAACACTCCCTGCTACTCTCAAACATGTAACATATTACACAAAACACATACATTAGACATTGTCCCTTAAAAAGGCATATTTACCAGATCAGAGGTACAAACAAAAACAAAAAACTACAAGCTTGTCACTTTAAAACAGTGTAAGTAGTGACTGAGATCTCTTGTTAACTGAACTCACAAAACCCCTTAAATCAAAAGGCTTTTGGACCATGGACTCAATGAGTCGATTGATTCTTTTGCTAACCCTGCCTGCCCTTGTCCTGACTACAGGTTCAGTTTCTACTGTCGATTGTACCTGTGTAACTGTGACATGACCTGTGTCTGCAGGATGTGACTGAGTGTTTAGGTGTCCTGAATGTACATGTGACATGAATGATGAGTCTGAGTCAGCCCCTGCAACTAAACTGTCGAAGTTAGTGTCTCTGCTGGACCGGTTCTGGTCATTTGGGAAGCACTGAATTGGACCATCTGCAGACCAGTCCACTTCTGGAATGCCCTGACTTGACTGATCCACCTCAGACGATCGTTCACTCATAATCATTTGACTCCGGGTTTCCTCTGATCCACTCATTATCCACGTACTGGTCCTGCCTCTTGAATCCTCCTCCTCCAAAGAGTCCAGGGAATCAGTCGTATACGACCTTTCCTCCACTTCAGTATCACACAATTCTTCTCCAGTTGTCACCACAGGCAAAAAGCTGATGTCTAAGACCAGGTTTCGATGAACTATCTTAGTGTTTCCACTACTGTCCACCAGCTTGTATGTGTGTGTCTGCAGGTTTCTGTCTTTAACTGTGTACACAATTGCACTCCATTTGTCAGCCAGTTTCTTCTTTCCTCTCTCACCTTTGTTTGCAATGAGCACTCTGTCCCCTAAGTTCAGGTGAATGCCTCTCACTTTTCTGTTGTAACCACTTGCTTGTTTGTCCTGTTCTTTGATGCTGTGTTCTTGGGCAATTCTTACTGCTTCATGAAGATCTGACATGAGCGTTTTGGCATAGCTTTTGTAATCAACAACCACTGGATCATGCAACACTTGCTTGAACATCACATCCACAGGGAGCCTCGGGGTTCTGCCGAACATAAGCTGGAACGGTGCATATCCTGTTGTTTCATGTACTGTTGCATTATATGCAAAAGTCAGAGCTTGTATCTGTTGAGGCCACTTGTGTTTCTCTTTTAGAGAGAGAGACCGCAGCATATTCCCAAGTGTTCGATTGAATCTTTCTGTTCCTCCATTTCCCATTGGATGGTATGCAGTAGTGTGTGATTTGGAGACTCCGGAAAGTTTGAGCAATTCTGCTATGAGCTCACTCTCAAAATTAGCTCCCTGATCGGAGTGAACACGCTCTGGAAAGCCATACACACAAAACACGTGATCCCACAGCTTCTTGGCGACCTGTTTTGCAGTCTGATTAGTGCATGGAAAAGCGTGGGCTAGCTTTGTGAAGTGGTCTGTCAAGACAAGAACATCCACTGAGTGCTGCTTACTATCCTCCGCACTCCAGAAGTCTATGCACACTAACTCCATGGGGGCAGACGTCCTGATGCTTTCAAGTGGGGCTCGAGCCGAGGGTTCTGGTGTCTTCGCCAGAATGCACCTTTGACAGCATTTGACATACTCTTTGACATCAGACTCCATCTTCGGCCAAAAGAACCGCTGTCTTGCTAGATGCAAGGTCCTAGCCTGTCCCTGATGCCCAGCAACATCATGAATGCCATGTAATGCTTTTTCTTTAAGACTGTCAGGCAGAACATACTGATGCCTCTTTTGTTTACTGAAATTATCCTTGGTGACCCGATAGAGGACACCATTCTGAACCTTCAGTCTCTCCCATTGTTTGATGAGAACCATAACTTTGGCATCTAGTCCTGATCGTTCACGTCTGGAAGGACGGCGGTTGCGAAGCACAAATGGTAGGAGTTTTGAAATAATGAGATCAAATTCCTGACTGTGCTTGAGTTCCTCTAACGAGAACACAGGAAGGGAGTCTTGGCCCGGCAGCAACAGATCCTGGACAGTCTGAGCCAACTCCACAGCTCTCGTCTCGGCAGCAATCTCCCACTGAGCATGAACATCTAAAAGAGCCTTGACAGCTACAGAATCACTGTGACACATGAGGGGGTCAGATTGAGACTTAATGCTGCCACCAGGTAACTTCTTCATCTGCTGACACTGGACTTTGAGTCGGAAAGTGTCTTGAATGCCGTCGTGACTAACACCCTCGGCTTCAGCAAGAAGGTGACTGTACTGCTCTGTGATGAGCCTGTGGCTTACTGATCTTGCGAAAGGATCTCTGCTGAGAGCATCAGCCACTATGTTCTTGGTGCCAGGTATATGTCTCAGGTCGAATGTGTAAGGAGCGAGCCTAGACACCCAGCGCTGTTCGCACGCATCAAGCTTCGGTTTCGTCAGGATGTAGGTAAGAGGGTTATTATCAGTCCATACTGTAAATTCATGGCCTTTTAACCAATGGCTAAATTGTTCACACACACTCCATTTCAGGGCCAGAAACTCAAGCCTATGGGCGGGATATCTCTTCTGAGAGCCACTGAGAGTCTTACTTGCAAATGCAATGGGACGTGCTTTCTCTTCACCAGCTGGTATCTGTGATAGCACGGCCCCTAGCCCGTCCAGAGAGGCATCAATAGATAGAATCAGAGGGCGAGAGAAATCTAGGTGTGAGAGGACGACGTAGCTCAAGAGACTGTCTTTCAGATTACAAAGAGCCGCATCACATTCCTCTGTCCAATCAGAGGGTTTCAGTTTCCTGAAGGAGCCGGTATTGGAGTTTAGTTTGACTCTCCCTCGTCTCTTTTGGCCTGCAGTAAGAGCAAACAGTGGCTTGGCCATAGCAGAACAGTTAGAGATAAAATGTTGATAGTAGAACACCATCCCCAGAAAATACTTTATCCTCTTTACTGATGGTGTGCAACCATCGTCTTCCATCAGGTCCAACTTTGACATTTTTGATATGACCTCAACTTTTGCTGGATCCATAGCCACTCCATTACCATCTATAATGTGACCTAGGAACTTGACTGAAGATCTCATCAGGTGGCATTTCTTTGGACTCAGTTTAAGGTTGTGAAGCCTGAGCCGCTGAAAAACAACCTCCAGCCTCTCCAACGCCTCTTCTTCAGTTGCAGCAAACACAAGCAGATCATCAAGATAACACAGCAAACTGCTGAAGTTCAGGTCTCCAAATATGCTGAGCATCATGCGCATGAATGAGGCAGGACTGTTGCACAAACCTTGGGGCATCCTGTTGAATTCATACAGTCCCATTGGAGTAGTGAATGCAGTGTATTTCTTGTCCTCCTCTGCCATTGGGATGTTATAGAAGCCAGAGGTCAGATCCATTGTGCTGAAGTAGGTGTTCCCACCCAGGGAAGCCAAGCAGTCTGACTGGTGTGGTAATGGGTGCGCATCCTTGAGCGTCCTTGCATTCAGCCACCCGAAGTCTGTGCAGAGTCTCAAACTGCCATCTTTTTTCCACACAAGTACAAGGGGAGAGGCATAATCACTTACTGACTTCCTGATGATCTCCTGTTCTTCCATTTCTGAAAGGACCTGTCGCAGTTTCTGGTAATGGGCTGGTGGCACCCGCCGGTAAGGGAGACGGAATGGTCTCTCATCAGTGAGCCTGATGCGGTGCATGAAGCCCTCTGCCTCACCGCAGTCCAGAGCATGTTTGGAGAAAATGTCATTGTACTTTTCAAGCAGCGCGAACCAACCTCTTCTTTCCTCCTTGGCCAGCCTGGCACTGATCGATATCAACCTCAGTCAGTCCAACCTGTTGTAGTCGCTGCTTGAAATCTGTAGGTTTAGCCTTGCCATGACTTTCCTCCTCCTTAACGTTGTTGAGTTGGCTGGTACCTTGAAAAACCTCAAACTCTTCAACAGCTAGACAGGGGAACACGTCGGCCAACTTGCTGTTTCTTTTCAGGGTGATAGGCTTGTCTGACACGTTTGTGACTTTCATTGGGATCCATCTGTCACCCCACAATGGTGTAATAACACGACCGATCATGATGTTACGAGGCATGCACTTGGATGAGGTGGGCTCAACTATTACTGTGCTGCCTGGAGACATGGGAGCGTTATTTGGCAACTTACCCCAAACAAGATGTTCTTTCTTAGCCAACAGCGTAACCGCATGCTGGAGTTTAACGGTCCCGATTCTGTCTGGAAGCTCCTCGCCTCTCCACCTGGATGAGTTTGCCATGAGATCAAGGAACTGTTCACACTCTGGGAGAAGATTTCCACTGGAAACCAGGCGCCAATAGTCACTGGTTATTTTCAGCTGATGCATGATAAATCTGATGACATTTGTGCCTATGATTAAGTCATCTCGTTGGCCAGGCACCACAAGGACAGGTACGATACAGCTCTCCCCATACAGTTTCATTTCCACTTCGTACATACACTTGGGTTTGCTAAGTGTCCCTCCACAGCCTATTAGCACAATCTCTTGAGTCAAAGGAATGGATTCTGAGAGTATATTCTCACTCAACATCTTCTGCTCTGCCTGCTCGCTGAGAGTACAAGCCATGGAACCAGAGTCAAGCATCCCCTGCACCTGAAATGTGTTGTTAATGCTAACAGGGGTGTAAAACAACTCATCAAAAGGGCCCACTCTCTGTGTATTTTGCACTATTACTTTAGCATCGGCTGGTGCTGCTGCGCATGCTTTTATATAATGAGTTTCAATATCACCACTGTTGAGGGTTTCTTCTCTGTTTCCCACACATTCCCTCACTAAATGCGGGCCAGTTAGTTTAAAGGTTGAGAATTCTGTGGCGGGAAAGCCGGAGAACCTCGGCCAGCCTGACGGTTAGGACAGTTCTTCTTGATGTGGTTTGGCTCGAAGCACACTAAGCAGAGGCGTTTCTGCCTGCAGTGTGCAAGGGTGGAATGATCTAGAGACTGGCAGACCCTGCAGGCTTTCGGTTGAAATGGATCAGAGGGGAGTGGTTTGTGTGTAACCTGGTTGTTCTGTGACAATGCTCTGTCAAATAAACTGACTAACATTTTCATACAGTCATCATTACAAGAGGGCTTGGATGCTGTGCTGTCCTCACCTTGCATAGATGGCTCCCGTGGGTGACATACTATCTCTGAAACGTCAGGTGCGGAAACCTGGACATGAACTGTCACTGGTTTAACTCTCTTTGATTTGGAAAGCACCTGTTCTTTCATTTCAGTTTGGTAGCGATCAATATGCTCTTGGATTTCACTAGCTGTCCACTTATCTGGTGCCTTAAACTTGAAAACAGCAGCAAGGGTGGGATCTGGGCAGTATTTGACAAACATCATCGCTACTTCCTGACAAGAATCCTCCATCTTCCGCCCTAGCCTCTTCAAGCCCTCCTCCGCTGCATCAACTGCCTTGTTTAGCCGAAGCCAGTACTCTACGGAGGACTCTCCTGCCACTGGAACTGTACTGTAGAAATCAGCCATGGGCATACATGAATAGGTCACATCACTAAAGTGTTGTCTGAGGATGTCATAGATCAATTGTGGGTTATCTTGAGGCTTCATGGATGGGCAGCTCCTCAGAGTTATCCTCACTATGTCTTTAGCCTTGCCCATTAACTTAGACATGATCTCAATGTGCTGTTCTCTCAGAGGTGTGGCTCGTTTCCTGAAATACACTCCCATTAACTCTTCCCACTCACAGACTGTATTCTTGTCAGATCCATCTCCTCTGAAGACTGGAGGCTCTCTCACATCTGACTGCAACACTAACTTTGCACCAGTCAAGTTGAGGTAAGTGTGGTCACTGGGTAACTGGCCAACACCGCTCTGAGCTGGTGTGGCTCCAACACCCCTCTCTTCACATTCCCCCCTTAACTGATCTCTTATAGTCTGTCCTACCTGCTGAGCAATGTGTGTTATCAGGTTATTTAAAGCTGCATCATTTGTATCTGGAAGGCTTGAATGTGAATCCTCCTCCCTCTGAGGTGATGCTACATGACCTGGCAAGCGAGTAGAACAAAAAGCTGGCGAATCTACATTAGCTGTACCCAGTGCTTGAATTGGAATGAAAAAGGTGCCAGTACTCTAAAATCAGCAACTTTTTCAAGTCAATTTTATATATACAGCCCACAAACAAGAATTTGGCTACTATAATGCTGGTGGGTTTGTCTCTTTACTACTGTATATTTTAGAAAGGTTCACTGTACTTAACATTTTTTATGATAGGCAGCGGATATGGCTAAAGCTCAGTAAGGTCAATATTAACTGAAAATATAGCAATCAAAGTCTAGATCTTCTGCTGAAGACACAGGTGAGAGCCCCTCTGGTGGTGTTCAACATTAATGACAAGGAAACAAAGCTCTGGTCAGAAGCATTTTTTATAAAAAGCTTTAACAAAATTAAGTATTTCTGTACATTTTGAATGCAATCTAACTTTCCAACTCAGAAAACGAAAAAGGAAAAAGTGCCAAAAGTCTTCTCACATGGCTGAGCTGCTTTGCAATATACTTCACCACTGAAGAATACAAATATGTATAAAGTAAACTATGATGCAATCTAACTTTCCAACTCAGAAAAATGATAAAGAGCATGAACAAAGAACATGTAAAAACAAATGCAAAATTTGCACAATCTAAAATGAGAAACTGTAACTGCAAGTAACAAAGTCTGAGCCATGGTAAAGAGTTACATTGAACACCAAGCTGATCAGATAACTCCCTGGTTGGTCTGAAGTCCTTCTATCTCCAGGATCTGTACAAATCGGCACATTATGCCAAAAGTCTTCTCACTGGGTGAGCTGCTTTGCAATATACTTCACATTGTTAGAAAAGGCTCCAGAAGGCCTTGGGGACATCAGTATCAGGGGCTGGAGCTGGACAGGCTCTTTCATCAGCACTTCTCCTTCCCTTTGCCAGCCAGGACTTCACATACTGTTCCGGATTGAACTGTCCTAGTGATGGTCCATTACATTTAATGAAAACCAGGCTGGACAGTCGGCTGACAGAGAGAGCATTCCTTTTTGCAGTAAGGATATCGTTCATGCAGCTGAATGCCCGCTCACACTCACTAGTGGAGACAGCGATGGTTCGGACTGCTTTCAGTAGAGGCTCCATGGCAGCAGGTGTACGGGATGCCCTGGTTTCCTTGTATTCGCGAAAGCCCTGAACAGTCTCTCTTCTGTCCACTTTCAGCACTTCGCACAAACGTAGCACCTCTACGTCCCCATACTGTACGTCTAACTCCTCTTCAGGCCAACTTCCAGGATGGATAACTTTCATGTCCTGGATTAGCTGATTGTCCCGGGCCTCCCGGCCATGTAATGGGATTTCTCTTGTGCTGACATGAGAGGAGGTTGTGGAAGTCATTCTGTGTCTCAGATTCTCTACCATACTGCGGAAAAACTGACCTGCATGAATCTGTACAAGCCTGCCATTCTCACGCAGGGCAACACCCTTGAAGGACTTCTCAGCTAGAGCTGTATGAACTGTAGTCATGTGTGGGCCAGGCATGGTGACCATGGATTCAAAAACTCGTATTTCTCGAGTTAAGAGCCTATCTGCTGTAGGCAGTGTCATCTCTCTTTTTTGGAGTTGCCGAGAGAGGTCGCTGAGCTCTGTGAGCGCATCGTACATCAGTCCCAGATTGCTGACAAACGTTGCAGATGTGAGCACATCATCCAGGCCCTTGTACTTTGCTCTGTCTCTGGAATCCCTGCTCGTGTCGTTTGCAGCATTTGTGAAGTGATCATGAAGCACTCGGTAGTTTTCCCAGACTGCTCTGACGCTCCTTTAACTTGAAGCCACCCAGCGGATGGACAAAACACGCCCTATCACCAGGAGACGCTGTCCGACTGCTTGCGCACACTGCGCTAACTGCCTCTGATTTTTGGGGGAGGCATGGAACAAGGAATAGAGTTTGTCAAAAAAGATCTGGAAATGATTGAGCCCTGAGACCCTCCTTGACCACATCCCCAACTGCCAGCTCTAGACGATGATTGGAGCAGTGCCACACAAACAGGCTTGGGAATTTACTACACAACTGGGTAGCAACGCCTGTTCTCTTCCCTAGCATGACTGAAGCCCCATCACATGCAAAAGAAACGAAACACTGACCTAAAAAGTCCTCGTTAAAATCTCTTCCAAGACACTCCATTAACGCCTTTGTGATGTCATCAGCCGTTGTTCCATCCAACTCGATCAGCTCCCAAAAAAACGTTTCGGGCTCAGCATCAGCTAATGCTGAGCGTAGACACACAACAAGCACCGTTTTACCACTAATAGTGGTAGATTCATCGACCAAAACACAGAGTTTTCTTTGGTTTTCTGTAATGTCTTTTGCCATTTTTTTCTTCAGCTCATGAGCTATGTGGTCGATGATTTCGCCACAGGTTTTATTGGAGTGCAAAACCCTGCCCACGTTCAGCCCATTCAGTTTCTGTACATTCAAATCAATTGGCATGTCTGTGAATGGCCGGCTATGTTTGCCAATTTTATATGCCATTCGAAAAACTCTGATAGTGGTGTCTAATTCATATTTATGCATAGACTGCACTTGATGTTGAATAGTTTCACGTGAAGCAGATGTAAGGATGTCAGCAGCTTTTACATGGGCTTGTGATTCTTTATGTTCTTTGATTTTTTTTTCTCAGGCTAGCTTGTTGTTTGCCCTTGTCAACACCGAAATGAGACACTGCACACTCACCCCATTCAGTTGACAGTTTCAGTCCTTGTCCAGTGTGTATTCCCAAAGATTTGACATCTCTGCATATCCGACATCCTAGCTTCTTATCTTTAAGAAGGAGCCATGCATTGGTCTTGCAAAAATATTGCACCTGGTCCGTTGTCCAGCAGTCAGGTGCATCGCTTTGCCCGGTGTTGGTGGTGGCAGTTGCGCCAGCAGCAGCTAACTTTAGAGGCTCTGGAGGAGGCGGCGGAGCTAGTGCTAATGCTAATGCACTAGAACTTGGAGCAGGAGGATCAACCAAAGAAAGCTCCCCATCAGACACAATTTCCAACACAGGCACAGCATTCTCTGTATTTGAAGTTTTCTTCCGGCGACAACCGCTGTCTTTTTGCACTTTTATTAATCCACGCTAACATTTTAGAAATGCTAATTTGTGACGTGACTTGCTTTCCTTCTCTCGGGGGCGTGCCTGCTCTGTTCTATCACTCTACATAGCCACCCACTGGGTGGGAGTTGCACTGCATAAACACAACACACGTGCATCTAGGTATGTCAATTGTAAAGCATTAAAACATGGTTTTACTAACAGTTTTCAGTATGTTGTTACTTCGGCATTATTATTATTATTATTATTATTTTGAAACGTGTATTACTATTAATCACGGTCAAATAGGTTAATTTTGACATAGTCGTTTCCACCACAGTATTTACATGGAGAAGATAAGCCCCGCCCCCTCTCCAGCACGTTCTGTTTGAATGACAGGAGTAAACAGCTGACAGCCGCTGTGAAACTCCAGCGGTTAGAGCGATGAGAATGTCCGTTCGGCACCTCATGACGCATCTACTGAGTACCGGGCGGCTGTATATATATATATGGATGTATAATAAGAACGGCGGGAGAGTGTTGAGTACTGGCACGGTGCATGAGTACCGGAGTACCGCCAGCATGCCGGTACTGAGCAAGAAGTGCCGGTACTCCATGGGTCAGAACCAGAAGTGCCGGTACTGCGTACCGGTGAGTACCGGCCCAATTCCAGCACTGGCTGTACCTCTGACTGGTATAAAAGGGTACCCGCTGATGGGTTTCCCTCTTCCAAAACCGAAACTAAAACTGTCAGTTAGAACATTGTCCTCATCCATTTTACCAGTAACATATGTCATTTTTAACCCTGTATACCAAACTTCAAAATTCAGTATACAATAAAATACAGAAATGACAAATGTACTCTCTAAACAATGAATGTAAAAATAATTACAGAGAGAAAAAAACAAAACAAAAAAAACAGTTTCCTCTATCTAATTCCTTCTCTTCAATACATGAAAGTAAGTGTGTGGCGTGTAGCAACCTCTGGTGACCAAGCTGGTGTTGATCCACAGCCTCAGGAACGACGATGGAACAGTCTGAAGCACTGTGAATCCGGGTCACGGCACCACTGTAACCGGTCTGGTTTGACGCCACATGTGATCTCTGCGTTGTGTTATGTTGTGTAAATGAGAACGACTTCTTTCTTGCCAACCAGGATTTATTCTCTGTGCAAAACAGAATATAATAATTAAAGCAGGAAATGGCTTCATCAGCTTTCTAACTTCACACTTCTCCTCAGTGGGGCCTGAAGCTAACTCAGGAAAGTATACAGAGTTCTAAATAATACAATTAACAGATATACATCTATCCATGGTGGCAAACCAGTTTTTCCTTGTAAACCAATATACACAAATATAACCATTAATTTACACTTACATAACAAACAATACAATTTAGAACTCTGTATACTTTCCTGAGTTAGCTTCAGGCCCCACTGAGGAGAAGTGTGAAGTTAGAAAGCTGATGAAGCCATTTCCTGCTTTAATTATTATATTCTGTTTTGCACAGAGAATAAATCCTGGTTGGCAAGAAAGAAGTCGTTCTCATTTACACAACATAACACAACGCAGAGATCACATGTGGCGTCAAACCAGACCGGTTACACAGGGAAATGAGTTTTAAGAGCAATGGGACTTCCTTTCCTCCGGAGCGTCACGTGAAGCGACGTCCGTTTGTGATGACGCTGCACAGCGGTTCGTCTGGCAGCAGCCAGCTCTGTACCCGTTATTTCCACAAACACCCCCGCCTCTGTTAGTACACATTTACTGACATAAACATTAGTATCATCTGTTGTAGATCCAAATACATGAAATAAAATAAGAAGTCATTCTCAAAAAAGATAAACGCCATTCTTAAAATGTATAAACGAAAAAAGCGATCATGAAAATGTTTCCAATAAATGAATAAAAAAATGTTTGACCACTTTGTTGTTTAGATATATCACATATTTGTAACTAAATGATACATGAATTGAAACAAAACACAGTATAAACTGAGGAGTGAGTCCCGTGAGGTTCATGTATTTTCTTCACTCCGCTGGGGTATTGCTCTCATGTCAAGAAGCATCAGATCAGTGCATGCACTGCCTCGTCCAATCAGTGAGCGATACACAGTAAGGGGGCGGGCTGAGTATCTGAGGATTTCATCAGAGGATGGTCTGGTGGTTCCTCGGTTATCGCTCCTCCATGATCGCTCCTCGCTCCTCGATCCTCGGTCCTCCGGCAGAAATAAGAGCCATGGGACGGTACTCAAGATGGCGTAGGCAAATCAACTTCCGGTGAGACCGAGGACCGAGGAGCGAGGAAATGAAAATAGTCGACCTGAGAAGCAGCCCTGGTCTCCCGGCTGTGTGCGTCACTCTTTAGTGTCCCCTGGTCTCCCAGCTGTTTTCCTTTAAAAGTCCATGTTTACATTGACTGTTTCACAACCAAAGACAGTGTCTCCTTGAGGCTGAATATATACATATACACAATATACATAATAAATACACATTCTTTATAGAATCAACAGCCAAATATTTGCTTTTGAAATTAATATGAGCCGCTTGTGTTTGAAATAATTAAAGTAAATACAACTGTGGGCCTCTGATAAGGCCAACTTAACCGGTGTGCAACTCGTTTTTGACAAGAAAGCTACTGGAGACTTCTAGAATTGTGTGAGTAACACTGTGTTTGTAGACTTCTCTGTTTCAGTGTGTGTACTCTGTATCAGTGCTCTGTAGTTGATCTGACTGGAATTGTGTTTTAAAAAAACTCAAAACCGCTACAGCATCTGTCAGACAGAAACTTGGGAAAAGTCATTTGACTGAAACCTTAAAAGTGAACTAACTGACTACTAGGGTTAACTTGATTTAAACATTTGTAGAATACTAAGAGCTTTATTGAGTAGGTGTAACTGTATTAAGGGTTAAACTCATAACTTTATAACTTAGGGTTTAATGTAATTGACTTAAAAGACAATAAGGAATCAGGAGGAAGCCAGTCTATATTTCCTTTTGAGGGCCACCAGCTGCAGAGTTAACTAATTAAAAGGACATTGCCCCACAGCTGTGAGAACTCAGCAATCAGGTGTCCATTTTAGGTAGCACTTTCCTGGAGCGTCAGCTTCAGCGTCAGACAGGCTAAGACTGACAAAGACATTAGAGTCAAAGACTGGCAAAGACATTAGAGTCCTGTGGGAGTCACGAGGGAGGCAAAGAGGAGGCAAATCCTACTTTGATTGAGCTAAGTATCGCTGGTGTTTTTTATTTTGTTTCATTTTATTTGGTTGTTTAGCCCCTCATGCTATAATCATGTGTATTTTCTCCATTCCTGTTCATGTGTCTTCTCGCAATTATCACTGGCCCCGTGTATCTCGTAATCGATATAACCGGCCTGCTCTCATCTATCCCACATGCTCCACTGAGATCCAACATCTAGTTTCAGGTGGCCTGTGGAACTGCCAGTCAGCTGTTCCTAAGGCTGACTTCATCTCTGGCTACGCCTCCCTGCAGTCTCTGGATTTCCTTGCTCTCACTGAGACGTGGATTACTCCATCCAACACATCCACCCCAGCAGCTCTCTCCACAGCATATTCCTTCTCCCATACACCCAGACCCACTGGCAGAGGAGGTGGCACTGGTCTCCTGCTCTCTCCCAAATGGAGCTTTTCCCTCTTCAAACTACCTAACTTCACTCCTTCCACCTTTGAATTCGATGCAGTCACAGTAACCCATCCTATACAGTTAACCATTGTTGTTCTCTACCGTCCACCAGGCGCCTTGGGGGACTTCTTGGAGGAATTAGATAATCTCCTCTCACACATCCCTGAAACTGGCCCTCCCGCTGTACTTCTCGGAGACTTCAACCTCCAGACAGGGAAGATAGACGAACTAAATTCTCTGTTAACCGCCTTTGCTTTCTCACTGTCTCCATCCCCACCGACTCATAAAGCTGGCAATGTCCTTGATCTCATATTCTCAAGGAACTGCGCTACTTCTAACCTCTCTGTAAACCCGCTCCACACATCCGATCACTTCTTCATTTCATTCTCTCTACCCCTTTCCAAACATAACAAACTAATCTCATCCTGCACTTGTCCGCCGTAACCTTCGCTCCCTCTCCCCCTCTACCTTTGCCTCGTCGGTGCTCTCAGCCCTCCCTTCCTCTGACTCGTTCCAACTCCTGCCTCCAAACTCTGCTGCAGAAACTCTCCTCTCTACTCTCTCATCCTCTCTGGACTCGCTCTGTCCTCTCACATCTCGGCAGGCTCGTCAGTCCCCTCCTGCTCCCTGGCTAAATGATGCACTGCGTGCTAATAGAACCGTCCTTAGGGCAGCAGAGCGGAAATGGTGGAAATCCAAACACCGTGACGACCTCCTAACCTATCAGGCTCTCCTCTCCTCTTTCTCTGCTTCCATCTCTCAGGCAAAAAGCACTTTCTTTCAAGATAAGATCCAATCTTCCTATTCCAATCCTAAAAAACTATTTTCCATCTTCTCCACCCTCTTGGACCCTCCCAAAGCCCCTCCCCCCTCCTCACTTCTGTCAAGCGACTTTGTTACCCACTTTGAAAAAAAGGTTGATGATATTCGCTCTTCTTTTTCTGACTCCCCTTTACTCACCGCTGGGTCACCAGACCCTCCTTCCACCAACACACTGACCTCCTTTTCCCCTCTCTCTCCAAGTGAGGTTCTTACCCTCATTACCTCTGCCCGCCCTACCACCTGTCCTCTGGACCCTATCCCTTCAAACCTCCTTCAGACTATCGCTCCTGATATTCTACCGTTTCTCACCCATTTCATCAACACTTCTCTAACTTCTGGTCACTTTCCAAACAGTCTCAAGGAGGCAAGAGTAAAGCCTCTCCTAAAGAAACCCACTCTCAACCCGTCTGATGTTATAAACTACAGGCCTGTCTCTCTCCTCCCGTTCCTGTCTAAATCACTTGAACGCGCTGTCTTTAAACAACTCTCCTGTTATCTCAATCAGAACAACCTTCTGGATCCGCACCAGTCTGGTTTCAAGGCAGGTCACTCCACAGAAACTGCTCTCATTGCTGTCACGGAGGAACTGCACACTGCCAAAACTGCATCCCTCTCCTCTGTCATCATCCTGTTGGACCTGTCTGCTGCATTCGACACGGTGAATCATCAGATCCTCCTTCGCACTCTCCAAGAACTTGGAGTTTCAGGCTCTGCACTTTCCCTCCTCACCTCATACCTGAAAGACCGTACCTACAGGGTTACTTGGAGAGGGTCTGAGTCCGACCCATGTCAATTAACTACAGGGGTCCCTCAGGGCTCTGTTCTTGGTCCCCTCCTCTTCTCCCTGTACACAAACTCGCTCGGATCAGTCATTAGCCCTTATGGTTTTTCTTACCACTGCTACGCTGATGACACCCAATTAATTCTGTCCTTTCCCCGCTCAGAGACCCAGGTCGTCGCACGCATCTCTGCTTGTCTAGCTGACATCTCTCAGTGGATGTCTGCTCATCACCTCAAGCTCAACCTTGACAAGACTGAACTGCTTTTCCTTCCGGGAAAAGATTGTCCCACTCTTGACCTAACAATCAACATCGGCACCTCAGTTGTTTCCCCGACTCAGACTGCAAGGAATCTGGGTGTGACCCTAGATAACAACCTGTCCTTCACTGCAAACATCGCTGCTACAACCCGCTGCTGCAGATACACGCTTTACAACATCAGGAAGATACGTCCCCAGCTGACTCAGAAAGCGACTCAGGTTCTGGTCCAGGCTCTCGTCATCTCACGCCTAGACTACTGCAACTCCCTCCTGGCTGGTCTACCTGCATGTGCCATCCGACCTCTGCAGCTCATCCAGAATGCAGCGGCTCGCCTGGTCTTCAACCTTCCTAAATGTTCCCACACTACTCCGCTCCTCCGCTCCCTTCACTGGCTTCCAGTAACTGCTAGAATCCACTTCAAGACACTGGTACTTGCTTACCATGCTGCGAATGGATCTGGCCCTTCGTACATCCAGGACATGGTTAAACCGTACACCCCAGCGCGTGCACTACGCTCTGCATCAGCCAAACGACTCGTTGCGCCCTCGCTGCGAGGGGGACCCAAGTTCCCAACGGCGAAAACACGTGGGTTTGCTGTCCTGGCTCCAAGATGGTGGAATGAGCTCCCCATTGACATCAGGACGGCAGATAGCTTACACACCTTCCGGCGCAAACTGAAAACTCATCTCTTTCGACTCCACTTCGAGCGTTAGAACTATTAACGAAGCACTTTTATACTAATAAAGGGCTGGCTTATCTAAAGCCAGTTGAGTAGCACTTGAAATGTTTGGCTCTATGAAACCTGATGTACTTTATGATTCTGTTTTCTTCAAGTTGTATTTTGTTGGTCGAACGCACTTATTGTAAGTCGCTTTGGATAAAAGCGTCAGCTAAATGCAATGTAATGTAATGATCAAATAATCAGTTACTTGATAAATGTATCAGCAAAATCTACTGTTTAATGTAAGTAATTGTTAGTCTGAGCCTTACCTGCTTTAATTACATCCGTGTTTGTTCCTCTGCTCTGCCTCTGGTGATGCATTCCTGCATGGAAACAGACTGCAGAATTGAATTAGAAAATATATACAGGTATA